TATATATGCTTTTTCATATATGTATGTATTTTCATATGTATGTATGTATTTTTAGATGTTTTTAGATGTTCATATATGTACGTATGTATGTATTTTTTTAGATATATGTAGTTTTTAGATGTATTTTTTGTATGCATGTATGTACTTTTTATATGTATGAAAAAGAGGAAGAAGGAAGAAAAAGAAGGAGAGGAAAAAGGGAAATAAGAAGAGGAAGAAGGAGAAGAAGAAGAGAAGAGCAAGAAGAGAGGAAGAAGAAGAGAGAGAAAATAAGAAGATGAAGAAGAAGGAAAAAAAGAGGGGGAAAAGAAGGAATAGAGGAGAAGAAGAAAAATAGAAAATTTCTAATTTCTTCTTCTCCTCTATTCCTTCTTCTTCTCCTCTTTTTTTCTTATTTTTTTCTTCTATTTTTTCTTCTTCTTCTCCTCTATTTCTTCTTCTTCTTCTTCTTCTTCTTCTTCTTCTTCTTCTTCTTCTTCTTCTTCTTCTTTTTATCGGGAACGAGGGTGTCGAGGATCACTGTGGGGTCGAGGGTCGAAAACTAAGCTAGAGGGTCGCGAGGGTCACAGAGGGGTCGAGGGTCGTCAAGGTCGGTCGAGGGTCTCCTATCTGGGATTCCGTTCCAAAATAACTTTGGAGAGCTTCGTACCATCATGCGGCTGTTACTTTCGCCTAATGATGAAGATATGGTTTTGTTGAATCCTTTGACACTAGACAAACGTGACATGAGGGGGTCGAGGGTCGGGAACTAGGATGGAGGGTTGTGGATCGCCGAGCGGTCGATGGTCGTCAACTAGCTAGGGTCAAGGGGTCGAGGATCGCCGAGGGGTCGAGAGGTGGCCTAGTGTCAAACTATTGTAGAAATCCATGGCTTCATCATTAGCCGGAAGTAACCGGGGCATGATGGTATGAATTTCTCCAAAGTTGTTTTGGAATGGAGTCCCGGATAGGATGATCCGCCTTTTGGTACGAATTTTATCAAAGGCCTTCCAAATAACGATATTCGGAAGGCTCTTGCTGTACTTTGTACCAAAAAGCGAATTATCCTATCTGGGACTCCGTTCCAAAACAACTTTGGAGAGCTTCGTACCATCATGCGCCTGTTACTTTCGCCTAATGATGAAGACATGGTTTTGTTTGAATCCTTTGACACTACACAAACATTGGACAATCATGAGAGAGAGGCGGTCGATATACCCCCTCTCCGATAACTTCGACAAGAGGGGGGGGGTCGATATATATACCCCCTCCCCGATAACATTTTTTTCTATGTATATGTCATCGTTGTCGATATACCCCCTCTCAGATAACTTCGACATGAGGGGGGGTCGACGTATATACCCCCTCCCCGATAACATTTTTTTCTATGTATATGTCATCGTTGTCGATATACCCCCTCCCCGATAACTTCGATATTTCCATCTCTCATGTTTGTATATTAATTGCCATGTTGTAATATTTGAAGTAACTATGGATCATCAAAGAGACTTCGATCAAGAAGAGATATTGGGGGACATAATCCGCGACGGAGGTGATGTAGTCGCGTCGTTTCTCAACGACATCGAAGAAGGTCTGCAAGGAGAGGAAGCAGGTTGCGTTGATCAAACAATGGAGGGTCATGATCGTGATGGTGGCTCCGGCGACCGTGATGATAGCTCCGGTGAATGAACGAAGTCGGGATCAGCTGTTGCAAAGTCTGACGAGGTATATATTAAGCCTGTGCTGACTAGCTAATTGTGTATTAATTGTTTTGGTATGTACATATGTTAACTCTTCTTTCTTCTTTTATATAGCCCTCCGGATCAAGCAATACTTCAGTAAAGAAACGAGGCCCGAAGAAAAAGTTGTGCCAGGATGAAAGGTTCACGATCACAGAAATCGCGCGCGATGGCCAACCGATTAAACCCCTCCGGACCAAGGAAGCATTTCTGCTCAGTGCGGGGTTTTTGTTAGGGACATGATCCCGATCAGCATCTAGCCATGGAATGAGCCTAAGGAGGAGCTTCTTCAAGTTTCTTTTGTTGAAGATAGACAGAAAGAAGATCTTTGAAAAGCGCTGAAGGTAAATTTCACCCTACCGGAAGAGGAGGATCCACAGAATCCAGTTATAGAACCATCGATCAAGTCCTATGCTCTCAAGAAGATGGCAGATCTATTCAGGAGGTGGAAGAATGAGTTGAAAACAATGCACACTACTGGAAACTGGGAATTTGCCATCAGCCAGCTCTTTGCCATCTGCCAGCTGATGGCAAAGAACGTCTTTGCCATCTGCTTATAAAAAACAGATGGCAAAGAACTGACAGACGGCAAAGAACATGATTGCCATCAGCCATTTCTTTGCCATCTACTAGTGGATGGCAAATAATCTTTGCCATCTGCCAGCAGATGGCAAAGAGGTGGGTAGGGGTCCAGTGCTATAACGGTCTGTCAACCCACCTCTTTACCATCTGCCAGCAGATGGCAAAGAATCTTTTCCATCTGTTGGCAGATGGCAAAGAAGTGGGTGGGGCCCAATGAATGACGGTGCTGTAACGGCCCAGTAGCCCCACCTCTTTGCCATCTGCCAGCCGCTGGCTGATGGCAAAGATATGGGCATTTGCCATCCGCTGGCTGATGGCAAAGAGGTCTCTTCTAAAAAAAATTGTCCTCCCCTCTCTCCAACACGGCCCCACCCCTCTCTCTCTCCCCACCTCTCCCAGCCCGAACGTTTCTTCCTCCCACCACACGTCTCTCTCCTTATCCACTCTCTTTCCTTATCCACTCTCACAGCCACACCACTTGTTTTACTCAGCTCGAGAGTGAGGAGGAGGACGAGCGCCACGGTGCTCGTCGATGCGAAGCTCTAGGACGGCGCACTCCGGGTCCCCGCCGACCGGCTCAAGCGGGGCGAGTGGCCGCAGCGGCCGTCGAGGCTGCCTCCATCTGCGCGCACATCGACTGCTCAACCTGGCGGCCATCATCGAGTTTGGCGCACTCTGAGTCCGTGCCGACCGACTCAACGGGGCGACGTGGGCGGAGAGCGAGCGCCGCCTGCTTGCCCGCGCCGCCGCGGCGAGCGCGGACGTCGAGGCCGCCTCCGTCTGCGCGCACC